TTTTGCCCAAACTCAGGTTAGGGAAAGAAATGACATCTGGAGGGAACCATCAATTTAACTTAGGAGCCCAGCATAAATCAACAAATATTAATGCAAACCAATCAGCACTAAAGTAACAAAGATAAATAGCATCTTATAAGCATATGACATGTAAGCATCTTCAGAGCGTCTCTCTACTTGGTTGTATAGTAGGCAACTTACATGTACAAAAGAGAATTCTCTTTTTTAAATTGTTGAAAAAACACAGCAAAACATACACCAATTCAACAATTTTTACATGTAAAATTCAGGGACACTGATTACTTCCTTCAAGTTGTGCAACCATTCTCACTCTCCTTTTCCAAACTGTTCCCTCCCATTAACATAAACTCACTGCCCCTCAAGCTTCCTATGTAACCTCTTGAGTTGCTGTCAATTTAATCCCATATAGGTGGTTCTTTTAAAGAGCTCAATAGTCAAGGCAGACATTCTTTACTAGTTAAGCTAAATTGTTGTTTGGTTTAAAGAGGATTTCAGGGATATTTCTGGTTTAAGGTTTTAAGATTATCTCAGGGCAATAGTTTCAAGGATTCATTTAGCCTCAGTGGCTCTAGAAAGTCTGGATTCCATGAGAATTTGAAATTCTGTTCTGCAGAATTATTGATCAGGATCCTTCTATAGAATCTTGAATATATCCACCCAAACCTGCTCTTCCCAGCCTTCATTATCTCAGTAATTGGCAACTCTATTTTATTAGTTACTCAAAGTAAGATCTTGGAGTCATCTTTGACTTCCCTCTTTCGCATAACCCACATTCAATCCTTCCGCAAATCCTGTTAGATCCATCTTTGAAATACACTACATAGTGGATTCAATAACTTTTCATCACCTCCACTAATACCGCCTTGGCCCAAGCCACTATAATCTGTGGCCCAGAAAACAGCCACCCTTGTACTCCTATGATCTCTTCTTCCCTTAGCAGTCAGAGTGATCTTTTAAAAATATGTCAGATCATAATACCCCTGAAAATGTTCCCCATCTCACACAGCTTTAAATGACCTATTCCCCCAAAGTCTTTTACTACTCCTCCTCCACCTACCTAACTCCATCCCAGCCACACTGACCTGCTTGCTATTCCTTGAGGATGTAAGAGTATTCCTGCGTCAGAGCTTTTGCACTTGCTGTCCTCTCGACTGGAACCCTTTTCTGAGACATCTTCATGGCTTAATCCCTTATCTTTTTAAGGTCACTGCTCAAATATAAACATTATCTGAGACACCATCCCCAGCACTTTATATATCACCTCCACAATGTTATCATCCTTTATCCCCTTAAAGCACTGCTCTCTTTACCTGTTCTATGTTTATCTTTTTATTGTATATAAGAAAATAATCTCCACTGGCAGGAACTTTATCTCTTTTGTTCACTACTATGGAAACCCTGGTGGCATAGAGGTTAAGAGCTATGGTTGTTCATCAAAAGGTCGGCAGTTAAAATCCACCAGGCGCTCCTTGGAAATCCTATGGGGCAGCTCTACTCTGTCCGATAGGGTTGTGATAAGTCTCAATCGACTTGACAGCAACGGCTTTGGTTTGGTTTTGGATAGTCTTAAATGTCTAGAACTGTGCTTGGCACTGAACTGCTTAGCAAGTATTTGCTGAATGAATGAGTTGATCTCAATTCCCTTCTGCCTCTCCTAGTGTGAACATCACAATGTGCTGTATATGGATCTAGAATTTGAACCTGAGTAATTTTCACTCAACATAATACCTAAATGCAAGCTAACTATTTTGTATAGTATGTAATCTCTTCTAATGCCGGAAGAAAAACTAGCTATGTTAAACTTAAGAGGCGATGTAACTTTCCAACAAGACATGTTCCTAAGGGACTTTCTATAATTTTGAATATATATGCTATTTTAGCCTTATGCATTGACTTTATAATCTATCCCCCCAAGTAAAAAGTAACCTCATAGAAAAATTAACTATATGGGTAATCAGTAAGTATCTAGCTACTCTAAAATAAGCCTGGACTGGTTCATTTAAGACATTTGTTCATAATTCCCAAGGCACCAATATTCTTAAATTGTTGTTCTTGGTTAAATGACATCAAATTGATTTTCGACTCACAGTGACCCCACGTGACAGAGTAGAAATGACCCAAAGGGTTTTCTTGGCTGTAACCTTTACAGAAGCAGAACACCAAGTATTTCTCCTGCAGAGCTGCTGGACAGGTTCAAATCATCAGCTTTTCAGTTACCCACCCAGAAACTTAACCACTTAACCACTGCGCCACCAAGGTTCCTTTATTCTTACATTACTCACTCATAAAGTAAAATGAGTATTTCCACCTATTCTAAACCAAACAAGTGACCTCCGGTATCTTACCTTAAGTATATATGGTATTAGGTTACAGGTCTTGAACAACATTAACCTCTGGCAGGAATAATTTTTTAAAATAATAATAATTTTAAATTAACTATTCAATCCTAAATTGACTTGGGAAGCCCATTAAAAATATGTTTAGTATCTCACATTCTAAATAGTAAAACAAAACCTCCAATCAGAATGAATCATAGATTCTTATATACGGGCTTCAGTATACCGAAACACTATAGGTTTAAGATTTGCCTATGTTTCTCACTCTAAAATAAGAGCATGAAGGAGATACACATTCAAAGGAAATTACAGTGGTCTTAAAACTAAGATTAACATTGAGAGTGGGTCCAAGAGAAAGTCTGTAGTATCATTTAATCTTCCTTAGCAGTAAATTTTATCAGATCCTAGAGCTGCCAAGCAAAGTCTATCCATAAAAAAGGATGCTAATCTACAACACTGACATAGAAAAACAGTAAGTTTTGACATCTAAAGTTCTTTAAGAAATAAAAAATGCTTACCTAGCTATTGAAGATGAGATTGAAACGAACACCTTTTAATGCAATTTTACTTCAATAAATTATCAAAGACAGAACACAATAATTTATAAATTTAACCTAAGAAATCATATTAATTCCAATCAGGAAAAAAACCCAAATATTCATAAGGTATGAAAAATGATTTTTATTATAATTTGCTTCTTAAATTCCCCATTCTTCTCTTCCCCCAGCCCCTGGTAACCACTGATCTTATCTTGATGGATTTACCTATTATAGATACATAAATGGGATCATACAATATTTGTCCTTTTGTCTGACATTTCACTGTACATAATGTTCTCAAGGTTCATCCATGTGGTGGCATGTACCAGAACTTCATTTCTCTTTATGGCTGAATAATATTTCATTGTATGGATATACTACACTTTGTTCATTCATTTATCTGTTGATGGGCACTTGAGTTGTTTCCACTTTGTAGCTGTTGTGAATAATGCTGCCATAAACACTGGTGTACATGTGTCTGTTTGAGTTGCTGCTTTTAAGTCTTTTGGTTATATACTGAGAAGTATAATTGCTGGGTCATATGGTAATTCTATGTTTAACTTTTTAAGGAACTGCCAAATTGTTTTCCACAGCAGCTGTAACATTTTACAATCCCACCAGCAATGCGCAAGAATTCCAATCTCTCCACATCCTTGCCCACACTTTCTATTTTCTGTTTTTTTTTTTAGTAATAGTCATCATAGCTGGAGTTAAGTGTTATCTTATTGTGGTTTTGATACGCATTTCCCTAGTGGCACAGTGGTTTAAGAACTCGGCTGCTAACCAAAAGTTCAGCAGATCGAATCTACTAGTTGCTTCTTGGAAACCTTATGGGCAGTTCTACTCTGTCCTATAGGGTCGTTATGAGTCCAAATCGACTAGACGGCAACAGGTTTGGTTTGGGTTTAATGACTAATGATGTTCAGCATCTTTTCATTTATTTTTAAAAATAATGAATTCATTAATTCTATTTTAAAATAAAAATCCATTGTAACCTGGCCTGGAAAATATACGCTCACCTTATTATAAAATAGCTCATAGTAAGTTGATCTCTGGAGCAGAGTTAACAACCTGAACCCCCAAGGAAGAGGCACAAAGCACTGTGGCACCTTTTTTTTTTTTCACGCCCTGTTGCAAAGCCTTCCTGTATTACAGAGCCATGTACCAGACAAGAACAAAAGACAAAAATATTTAACTGTTAATGTGAGTAATCTGACTCATAACTACCCTTATAAGACAGAGTAGAACTGTCCCACAAGGTTTCCAAGGAGTGGATGGTAGATTCAAACTGTCGACCTTTTGGTTAGCAGCTCTTAACCACTGTGCCACCAGGGCTCCGCTGTGAGTTGGAATAGACTCAATGACAATGGGCTTGGTTTGGTTTTGGGAACGTAAGTAAGTATGAAAGAGGTGCTTTATTTCCAGGAAAAGTTTCCAACAGAAACGTGGCTAGAGGCCAAACCATAACTGCATCTGGGAATTATGAATAAGCAGCCCTGGTGGCGCAGTGTGAAAAGTGCTAGGCTGCTAACCAAAAGGTCGGCAGTTAGAAACCACCAGCCACTCTGCGGGAGAAAGATGTGGCAGTCTGCTTCTATAAAGACTTACAGCTTAGGAAACCCTATGGGCAGTTCTACTCTGTCCTATGGGGTTGCTATGAGTCAAAACTGACTCGATGGCAATGGGTTTTTTTTTTTTTTTTGGTTCCTGCTGTCAAAGACATACCTTGCTACTACTTTCAATTACTGGCCCACGAGGTATTTTATCTCATCTTCCCTAAGGACCTCTGCACTAATGAGTAGAGTAAGATCACAATGCAGGTTGCTAAACACCAAGCAACTGGGAAAAATGCTTTTCTTTACACAGACACACCCCTCCTCCCTCCCTTCAAGCTGAGCATAAGGGAAGGGAAAAGAAGGGTAGGGAACAAAATAAGAAACTCCATGAAAGCAGAATTTATACAGGCATTAATACAATAACAGAGCTCAGCAGAGTTCTGCGCACACCGACTATTTTCCAAACCAAAATATTATTAAAGAGAACTCTGGCACAAACATTAAATTAAAAACAAAAAAAGGTAGAAAACAATCAAAAAGTCACTTACTATGTATCATCGTCAAGTCATAAAATTGTGGACTTAATAGATCTTCTCTTATGATAGCTTTTTTTCTGTAAACATCAATTAAAAAACGTGAAAGAAAAGAAAACTGTCATTTTATTTATTTTCTATTCATTGCCTATCCAAAAAAAAATCTATCATGCAATAAACTATCTCGAAAGTGTGATAAATGATTTAAGTAACATTCTCAGAGACGCCTACAAGATATTAGAATCTCAAGCTACAAATTTTAACTGTATAGTGAGTTGTAGCATCTTAGTCTTTAAACAATTATCTTATTGGTTGACCATGACTGACTGGCTACCAAGCCATGTAGAAGAGAGGCGAGCAGATATTACTTGCTCTTAAGGGGCTATTAAGAAACTGTAGCAAAGAAAGCACAAGTTGCCAGTCCCTACTCCAGCAACGTGAAATCGAAGTTTACTACCAAGAAACAAAATATCTTCCCTGGAACATGTAAGAAGTATCAAAAAGGGATCGTGCAAGGGTTTTACTACTTTAAAAGGGAGAGGTAAAATGAATGATTCCAAAAAATAATGTACAGTAAATACGCAATAGCTGACAGAAAATTTTTGACCTTTGGGGAAATCATTAAAGGTCTAAGTTGGTGGGCAAAAGCAAGTTTTTATTTTGCATCAGCTGTTTCCCCACACCATCTCTCTACCACAAATCTCTGAGAAAAAGCAGTTAAACGTGTGCACTAACTCAGCTGTGCTAAACTCAAATACAGATACGAGCCTTACAGCCTCTCAGCAAGAACTTCAGAACTGGTAGTTCTGAAAGAGCACAAAATGCATATCCATGACAGCCAGTGATAACAAGAATGAAGCTAGCAAAGAGTTTTCTTCATGATACCTAGGAAAAGACTTCTAGTATCTACTATGCAAACATAAACAGAAAACCAAAGATAACTCAAAAATAGTTATAAGAAAATTTTATTAAAATTTATTCTAACCAGTTCTTATTAACTCTGGAGCTCACAGATGCGCTCTTGGGAATAAGACATTCCATGAATCCCTTGAAATCATGCACAATTTTACATTTATGTTATGCTTATTTTTTTGTCAGAAGGGGTCTGTAGCTTTCTTCAGATCCTCAAAGGAGTCTATAACTCCCCGAAAGTTAAGATCTAAGAAGCCACAGTGTTATGAATTAGTGGTAGGATACAATAAATCTCAGGGACTTCTGTCAACTGTTTTAGTAACTAAATAAATTTAGTTTCTCAAGAAATTAGTATTCTGATGAAATGCACTAATGAATCAAAGCTTTAATTATAAAGCTGACAATATACTGACTTAAAAATACAACTCTGGACAGCTCTAAATAGATTTCAAATCAAAATAGGCTCAGGCTTAAATTTTAAATGTTTAGAAAAACTTATTTTAAGCATTAATAAATTAATTTCCAGTACACTATTAATATTCAATTCAGTTCAACAAATATTTTAAATTCCTATTGAGTTTGTGTACTAAGTACTGTATTTCAAGGCAATTATGTTAAAATAGGACAATGGTTTTAACAACAGCAGTTAAAGATGCAAATCTAAACATATTAAACATTTTTTAAACATCTGTTATATTTAGGTAGGGAGTGCCTACTACAACACAAAGAAGTAAAATATGAGAGGTAAAAAGTAGTTACAACTACAATTCTCTCATGAAGAATGCTGCGCTCATTAGTTACTTTCTACTTTTTGTGCACAAATAACTAGGGCAGTGCTACTCAAAATGTGAAGACTCATGCTTATCCCTTAACTGTTACTGGTTTCTAATAAGTAAAAAAATAAGTAAGCGTTCAGAAACTGTTATAAAACTTTTATTCTGCGGTAACATTTTTATTGTACGTTACCAAAGTATCAGTCTAAACAAATTAACAAAGAAAACAAAATAAAAATCAACTTTTCACCAAAGATAGAGTTCAAATTATATTCTCCTTTCTTAAATGATCAAGTGTGTGCTTTCAAAGAAATAATTAAATACATGTAAACAACTTCATAAGAAAAAAAGAGTACTTCTATTCTACTAGCTAACTTCTTGTTCTATTCATTTGGATTCCACTTTCAAATTTCATCACTAACCTTATATAGCTTTTAGAATTTTCATGACAGGAGAGCTGTTTCTTAAAATAGCTTTCATTTTTCTTGCCGTTTGTTTTTCTTGACTGTCTTTTTACTTGAACCTATAAGAAGAGCAAGAAGAGCTAGAATCCAGTATCACAAATGTTAAGTTTTCAATTTTCACTTGAAATGATAAAAAATTAAAGCTATCTGAATAAAAGGGTAGTCCAAATACATATGGTTTATTCATTCAAACATGCTAAACTTTAAGTTTCTAAGTGTGCTAAGCTCATCAAAATAGTGAGAAACAGGCACGTTGACAGATTAAGTACACATGACAGAGATATGAGCACCGATTCCTGTATACACATAGGACTGAGAAACTTTATCTGAGGAAGTCAGAGAACAATCCAACGAGTAGGTGATTTATGAATTGGTCTTAAAGAATGAATAGGAATTTGTCTAAAGAAAAAACATCCTTGAAGGAGGAAAGAATACAGAGTTAGGAAATAACCTCATGTATCTGCGAAATAGTGAGAAGCTGATGTAGATAGGGAAGAAAAGAGTAGCAGAATACAAGGTTGATGAAATATATTATGACCTGATAGTAAAGGGTCTTGAATAAGAAAATAGTTCTATAGGTAGCAGAGACTACATGGAATTTCCCAGTAAGTGAATGAGATGATCAAATTTGTTTTTTAAGAAGATAACTTTGGCAGTGATGTGGAGAATGAACAAGTTAAGAGATTATATAAGCTAAGAAACCAGAAAGAAACGTGGCTACTGAGCAGCTAAAATGTAGCTCGTCTGAATTTAGATGTGCTGTAAGTGTAAAATATATATCAGATTTCAAAGACCAAGTACAAAAAACAGAATGTAAACTCTCATTATAAAAAATATTTACAACACGTTGAAACATATTAGATACATTAGATTAAATAGCATATTATTAAAATTAATTTTACCTGTTTCTTTTCATTCTTTCAACATGGCTACTAAAATTTTTAAATTACATAGCGGTTTGTAGAACACTTCTATTGGGCAGCACTGGCCTGGATGACAGCATGAAGGCCTACAAAGAAGCAATAGCAGAGAGATGGAAAAGGAACAAATTTAAGACAATGAGAAGGAAAAGGCAAAGACGAGGGAGAGAGAAATTGAAGAACTCCCAGAAATTTCTGATCTAGGTGACTGGGGCTGTGGTACTATCAATGACTGGGGCTTAGAGAGGGGATAGAGAATGAGATGAATTTTGAATTTGTTCATTTTTAGATCCTTCTGATATTCTAGATGGAGATATGCAGCAAGCAGATGGAAATACAGGTCTGGTTCTCCGGAAAGAGATCCTGACTAGTAACAAACTTTTAGAAGCCATCCAAATGTAGGTAGTATTTAAAGCTACTGAAATACTTGAAAAGATTTAGGGAGACAGTATACCAAAAGAACTGAAAGGACGATCCTATGAGGAGCCCCAATGATTACGAAATGAGGGTAAGAGGGACTTCCACCAAAATGACGCTCCAGGCAGAAGCACCACACCGTCCCTCCACAGCAAAGATCCGAAACACTCAGGCGAACAGAGAAAACAACAATCCTGAAACCCTCAAACATCAAATGAAGAGATAAAGAACTCAGCCAAGCAGCAAATGGAGTGAGAAAACCGACAGACAATGGAGTGAGGAGAGATTCATGCAGAGGTCCCCTATCAGCTAACACAGTGCGGATCCACCATCTTGGACTCCTATCGGAGACCAGCAAACAGGGGGTATGAGAAAGCAGCTTCATGGAGCTTCCAGTGGGAGACAAAACAACTGGTAATTTGCAATAAATGCTTTCCCACCCCCACCCTTCTTCACCCCCACTTGGCCTCCTCTGCTTCCCGCAGCCACAATCTCTTGGCCAGGAAGCACTGGCTGCTTGGATTCCACCCACCCGAACGGGCCGGCTCTCTGAGTGCCATTTGTTGGCTGCTGGTGTTGCTTTTTTCCGCTTCTTTTGCTTTCTTCCTTACCCCTCACCACCTCCCCCCCCTTTCGCTCAAATACCTGGCTCTGTGCCCCATCTTTGCTTCTTCCTGAGGGGCTGCGGAGCTCCGGTAATTTGTGATATACGTTTTCCCACCCCCTACCCTTCTTCACCCACACTCGGCCTCCTCTGTTTCCCGCGGACACAGTCTCTTGTTTGGGAAGCACCGGTTGCTTGGATTCCACTAGCCTGCACTAGCTGGCTCTCTGAGTGCCGTTTGTTGGCTGCTGGTGTTGCTTTTTTTCCACTTCTTTTGATTTCTTCCTTATCTCTCACCGCCTCCCCCTCCTTTCGCTCAAACACCTGGCTCCGTGTGCCATCTCTGCTTCTTCCTGAGGGGCTGCGGAGCTCCGTTCAAAGTGTGGAGCTGGTTCCCGGTCTGGCTGCAGCACTGGTGGGATCCTGGTGCTTTTGTTTGTTTGTTTGTTTGGGGTTGTTTGTTAGCTTTCTTTTCCTTTTCTTAAGTTGGGAGCCCATTCTAGATAGGTGGGGCTGTGCGGCTTGAAGCCTACCCCCTTGGCTTGCACACGGCATTTCTTTTTTCATTGGTTTTTTTTTTCTGTTTTTTTGGGGGCTTTTCTTGTTCTTTTTTTTTTTTCTTTTTTAATTTGTTTTGTTTTCTTTTCCCTCTTTTTCCCTTTTTTCATTACTCAGTTCCTCATCTCTCTATATCGTCCTTCTCTTTCTGTTCCCTGAATATCTGGCGTTTTATACCCCTATGCCTTCTAGCCAGGCTGTACTGCAACACCTGAGAACAACTTCCCCAGACCTCATAGCTGCACCGGTGGGATCCTTGGGAACTTTGCGGTTCTTTTCCCTTTCCGATTTTTATTTATTCATTCTATTCTTTTCTTTTTATTCTTCCTCTTCCCCTTTTTGTTTTTCTCCATTTCATAATTGCTCATCTATCCACTCCAACGGCAAACTCCCCTAGCATCCTTTTTTGTTTGTATGTTTTTGGCTCCTGTTCCTCTCTCCTCTCTCCCATATCCATCTTAGCTCCACACATAACAATCTCCCCGCTACATCCTGCCTACCTGCACCGCGTGCTTGACATCACACCACCAAGCAGCACAGGCATGGCCTACTGGAACCTGCCCTGCACTGATTACCAACCCACCATGGTGGCTGTAGTAAGTGCCACAAACAACCATCCCAGTAACTCCTCTTCAGCTAGACCTGCCCTGCTGTACCATACCTGAGTGACTGAATCTGCCAATTGGAGGCGGTGAAAAGTATTGTGCCCACAGACGAGCAAACAACAAAGAACGCAGAGCCTGCCTGCTCAGACATAGCCAAATTAAAAAAAAAAGGACGAAACAAACAAAACTACAAGCAATAAACGAGAAAAATAACTACCGAATGCCCCGAAGACAGCAGACAATATCAAAACTTTTACAAAAACAGGACAGGATGGTTCCAGTAGGCATCCAAAATAAAACACCAGATGACTTTCCAGTGGAAGAAAAGGCACTAGAACTACCTGACAGGGAATTCAAATCTCTCATACTCAGAATTCTTCAAGAGCTGAAGCAAAATCCAGACAAAAATGGGGAAGAAACACACAAATTCATGGAAAATACAGACAAAAAATTGGAAGAATTCAGGAAAATAATGCAGGAACATAATACCCAAAAACTTCACAACTAGAAATTATACAAAAACAACAATTAGAAATCCCAAAGATAAACAACAAAATTTCAGAAATGGATGGTGTCATAGAAGGGCTGAGAAACAAATTTCCATCGGTGAAAGACAGTATCAGTGGAATTGAAGACAAACACTTGGATACAACTCTGTTTGAGGAAAACTCAGAAAAAACAACAAAGAAAAATGAAGAGACCCTGAGAGTTATGTGGGATACAATCAAAAGCTAAAATTTTCAAGTGATTGGAGTTCCAGAACAGGGGGAGAACAGAAAG